AGTCACATAAACAGACACACATCAGTCACATAAACAGACACACATCAGTCACAGAAACAGACACACATCACTAATAATAAACAGACACATATCAGTCACATAAACAGACACACATCAGTCACATAAACAGACACACATCAGTCACATAAACAGACACACATCAATCACATAAACAGACACACATCAGTCACATAAACAGACACACATCACTTACAATAAACAGACACACATCAGTCACATAAACAGACACACATCACTAACAATTAACAGACACACATCACTAACAATTAACAGACGCACAAGAATGCATGAACAGACACACATCAGTCACATAAACAGATACACAACACTAACAATAAACAAGACATACATTAATCACATAAACAGACACACATCAGTTTTTAAAGTTTTAGTAACAGTTTTACAGCACTTGCAACACAATGAGGTCATATAAGTACTGAAGATTAGAGGTGTTACAAGAGAGTAACAAACACATATCACAGCACCCGCCAACCACCCACTCACAAACATCAGTACCACGAACAGACTCACAACAGTCACACAAAGAAACACACAACAGTATATGAACGGACACAGGTTGTGGGTGGTTGGCCGGTGCTCAGGTATGATGGTTTGCTCACTCTTTCCTTACAAACATGTAGAGGTGTCCTCATTCCCCCTTCTTTTTATTTTTGCAAGTTACTCTCTCGTAACACCGTGAATCTTTCGGCACTTATATATGACCTTTTTATGTTGCAAGGGCAACAATACACTTTTAGTTTTAGAAAGAGTTTTACGGCACTTGCAACACAATAAGGTCACAAAAGTACCGAAGATTAGAGGTGTGACAAGAGAGTAACAAGCACAAAAAAGAAGGAGGGGAGATAAAGACGATAGATGTTTGAAGGGAAAGAAGAAGCAAACCACACCAGAGCACCCACCAACCACCAACAAAACACTTAAGTTTATGCACACAGACAGGAATATTTTGAAAAATGACAGTCTTACACTGAGCATTCATTTATAACGAGACACAGACACAAGCACAGACGCACAAACACACATGCCGACACACAGACACACGTGCTGACACACAGACACACGTGCTGACACACAAACACACCTGCTGACACACAGACACAGGAAGTGACACACTTGGCACATGCGGCGACACACAAGACACATAGGGTGACACACAAGACACATGCGACGACACACAAGACATACCTTGGGAGTCCCTCTCCTGACAGCATCGTGTAGAAAACGACACCAGTGTAAGGCTCTGCTCTGACTGCCAGCACGGAACTTGTACACATTTCCTGGAGAGACCACACAATTACTCTTGAGGGAGGGAGGGAGGGAGGGAAGGAGGGAGAGAGAGAGAGAGAGAGAGAGAGAGAGAGAGAGAGAGAGAGAGAGAGAGAGAGAGAGAGTATTTTTCAAGACTCACGTGGAATAGTCTTGGTGGTTTTTGGAGGAAATCTACAAGCTTGCACTGAACTATGGGGGCGGGGTGGTGTTTGATATACTAAAGCTCGTGGGGAGCGGGGTTAGGGCTCAGATTGTTCATGTGAAAGTGGGCACGCCGGCCATGCCGATGAGGGAAAGAAGGCCCCCCATGTCTGACACGTGTGACGCCACTGCAGCCAGCTCTAGTATTATATATATATAACCTCTTTGACAAACACCTAAACCAACGAGACTGTACATTCATAGAGTAGCTCTGTAAAAACACAATTCACCTTTCACAATCTTGGATTCTCTCTACCAAAATCATTCTGTCCCCATTTGCTTCACACCACAAGTGTATTGCACACAGAGCCGATTGCTTCAGACCACAAGTGTATTGTACACAGAGCCGATTGCTTCAGACCACAAGTGTATTGTACACAGAGCCGATTGCTTCACTTGTGCCACACAGAGCTAACTTCTCAGTATAAGTTAAAAGGAAAATAAAAATTCTTTTTTTTCTGTCTTTCTTAGATGTGAATTCTGAGAGCACACTGACTTTCTTTTATATATATATACATGGTGCAGAAAATCCTGGGCGAGCACAGCATGGAGTACCCGCAGCTTCTGTCTCGCTATTCAGAGCAATATGTTTATAATTATAGTAGTTGTAGAGGGATTGTGGCACGCTACACAAAAGGTTACGGTTTAAATCTAAGCTGTGTGGGAGAGAGAGAGAGCGAGAGAGAGAGAGAGAAAGAGAGAGAGAGAAAGAAAGAGAGAGAGAGAGAGAGAGAGAGAGAGAGAGAG